TAAATATTCTCTGGTTTTAACTAAACTAACGTTCAAAACATGACCAAATGACTTTTTAAAGAATACCAATTCATATATGAGAGTTACATGCTCAGGTAATAGGGGTGTGAAATTTAAAAACTTAGAGAACACTGACCTAGAGGACTATACCATGCTCATTTCTAGAGGTATCAACTTCAGGGTCCGACCTTTTTTGTTTCCATCTTTAACATGAAGTTTTATTCTTCTGGTTCTTCTGTCCATTGTCTCCCTTTATTCTCTCCCATCCATTCCCCAAGTTGAGCTATAATCTCTATGAGCTTCAATTTCAAACATACATTACCAATTCTGATATTTCTCCTAAGTACCAGTCCTGCATGCTGACCACCTCCAACTGGAAAGCCACCCAGAATTCATATTCCATGTATCCAAAATTATATTTATCTTTCTCTTTCCCCAAACCTGCTCCTTCTAACTTTTCTGTTCTATCTTCCAGGTACCCAGGCTTGAAATCTCAAGAGTCATCCTGGTCTCCGTTCAATTCTGCCACTAACTTTGTTCAGGCCCTCATCACCTACACATAATAATAAAAATAATGATGATGATAAAAGCTAATACTCATTTAGTACTCGCTGTATGCCAGGTCTGATTTTAAGCTCCTGACATTAGTTTAACCTTCATAACAATCCAATAAGGGTCATAAACCTAGTATGTGAACTCACTGCATTGTTCACTGTTTCTAGTGTGTTCTAATCAAATCCTACTCATTACTATATGATGATGATGAATAAATCTTATAAAAGCACAACTCTGATGGTGCCACATCAACCTATTACTCCAAATCTTCAACAGTTCACCAATGCCAGAGACAGTTTGAATTTTTTAGCTAGGCAGTCAAAGCCCTCCAACATCTGACCCAATTTACTTCTCCACATTTCTTTCTTTTGCCACTCCCTCCCGTACTTAACGAATCTCATTATGCTCTAAAAAAAGACTAGACCATTTACTGCTCTCTTCATTCCCACTACACTTTTTGAACCATGACCTTGCTCCTCCTGTTCCCCATGCCTGGAATGCCCTTGTCCCTACCTCCGAGTCCAACGCCCAGTTAAATTGCCCTACATCATTCCTAAGCCAGAAGTAAAGGTTCCCCCCCTCTAAATTCTGTGTCCTGTGTTTGTACTTTCCATTATCAGTTTTGTATATTTGATATACAGCATCTGGATCTCCCCTACCAGATTGTTAAATCCTGGAGTCAAGTTTTATTTGTATACATTTTTAAAGTCTCCACGTAAAAAACATCCAGGTATGGTGAATTAGTGAAAGGAAGTGTAAAGCATCCAACTTTAGAATTTTTCTCAAAGGTAAGAACTATATACCTTAGATAAAGGAAAAATTCATTTTATCTGGCTATTTCCAGTCAAGCAGGTCTTCCCTTTAATTTTCTATGTAATTGAAACTATGGAGACACACCAAAATGATAGCACTTTCAAGAAAAAAAAAGGATAACTAGGTGAAACGGCGCTGCTGTTTGCTGTGGTTATTTCAGTCTCTGTTTCTTCCTCTGAACTAGGAACACAAAGTTGCAAGCTATGTTATGCCTCTTAAAGTTAAACATTCACTAGGTGTTTTTTTCCTTTAGTTCTGTCTTTATACTGGAATTTACCTTCATTTTTTATCCTTCAACTGCCCTTTTTCATCGCAGGGAGCAAAACTAATTTAATTTATAGTAAACACTCTAAATAGAGAAACGCTTTTCGTTGATTATTGAACAGCAGAGTCTGGCCTTGGGATGTGCCGAGGAGAGAGACAGAAAGATAAGGGCGAAAATACACATAGGATCTGAACAAGTTTTAAAGAGCTGAGGCAGCAGAAAGAACAGATTAAAAAGAAAACTAAGTTTCCAGGAAATACAGACAAGAGGTAAATATCATTCAGCTGTATTTACTATTATTTTCAGTCACAGTATACCTCAGGACTTAAATATTACTAAGTTACACCACCTAAGCTCTCATTCGTTCAGTGAACTGTAACTTTCATTCAAATATATGAAGGTGGTGAAAAGAAATTCAACTATGAAAGAGAAAAATGAAAAATTTTCAAGTAGATTGTGGTCATATCAGAGAATATGCAAAATAAGAACAAAAACCAAATCCACACTATACAAACTCACACGTGCAGATTCACAATGCCACTTTGCCGGTGGTAAAGATTAAAGCTGGCATGGTTAAAATATTATTTTGGGAGTATACTGACAATGACTTCTATTTCAGACTTGTCAAATGCTTGAAATGATCCTGGGATCTTTGTTTATTAACTACAGGCTGGCTTAACGACTCACTTGAAGAACCAGGCCCAAACTTGTTTGGGAATTAGCTTGTTCTTGAGGTGTATTAACAAAAACAAAACAAAACAAAAAACCCAACTAACTGGCATGCAGGTGTTGTATTTGTGTACCTTCTTCCTTGTAATGCATAAAAGTACCACGCTCTCTGGGACACCTCAGCGAGCCAGGTGGGCACCATTAGCTTCCCAGCTGATTCTCAGCTTTCTGAATAAGCAATTGTCTGAGGCAAAAGATCTGTACATCCCAAAAGGGATGGGAAGTCTGCTGCCACAGCAGACTTTCTAACCAACAGATTCTACATGAAGACTGCTAAACCTCTTCCATGGCCCATTTTCTCTCTGTTCCTTCCGTGTTCAAATAACCTATACAGACACAGCAAAAGGAAAAGAGCCCTAGCCAGTCTGGCTTAGTGGTTAGAGTGTCAGCCCACGGACTAGTGGGTCCTGGGTTCAATTTCAGCCAAGGGCACGTACCTCAGTTGCAGGCTCAATCCCAGCCCTGGTCAGTGCGTGACTGAGTGGGAGGCAACCTATCGATGTGTCTCTCTCACATCGATGTTCCTATCTCCGCCACCACCCCTCTCTGAAAAGCTATGGAAAAAATATCCTCGGGTGAGGATTAAAAAAAAAAAAAAAAAGAAAGAAATATGAAAATAAAAAGTAAAAACAACCTAAAGGAATATAAGAAACATGGAATAAACTGAGTGGGGCTAAATCTCTGAACTTACATAGGTCCGTCATTAAAAAGCTGAAAGATTGGGGCACCTAACCTATCTGGGCCTCAACTTCCTCATTTTATATGAAGAGAACTAGACTAGATCCCCCTTCCATGAACCTAACTTAAAAATATACAAACTCTCTATGGATGTATTATTAAGGATAAAGTTAGGCAAAATAATTTCATTCATGAAGACCATCTATAAATGATTAGCTTTAAGAATGCTTTTTGGGTAACTAAAGTCTCCACAAATGTACATATACAGCTTCTTTAAAAGGAGACCTCATCTTATTTTAGGAACAAAAAGCCCACAGTGACCATGACTGCTGTTTTCAAACATATACATCCCTGGAAGTGGAATTTTATTTGGAGAGTCCAATGCCAATTTTGCCATGCCTTTGTCTATCTGAATATGATCCTTTCAACGCACAGAAAGAAGGCAGACATCAATGCTGACTGACCATTCCTGAGAGGAAGTGACTTAATAGGACAGGAAATCAAACAGATCACAAAATATCTACCCCGCCCAAGGAGGAAAAAAAAAGTCCCCAAAACAGATGACACGAGGTATGTAAAATGGGTGAGAACCAGATCCCTATGGGTTTCAACCATTTATCCTGGAAATGTATCTCACAGTAGGCATCAACTGTGTGAAATTTATGCTAATGTTTATATTTTGGTGAAAGACCAGTTATTTTTTTTTAAGTCTTCACCCCAACATTTACTTGCTTGCTACTACTGTGCAGGCTATTAACTGCCTCCAAGCTTGAAAACAGACAGAAAGGTCATAGGACCACAAAGCAAACAAAAAAGTGGCTCCGTTTATTTTATAAATATTTGGTACATAAACTAAAAATGTAACCTTTGATGGTAAACATCTGCAACTATTACAACTTACCTGAATTATAATGCAAATCTCAGTACCATATTGAAACAGGTTTCCAAATTTTTATCTGAGAGGTTCCTAAATCTAATTAGGGTTTCCAAAAACCAGCGTTTCCAAATCATCTTATTCTGAAGACCCTAATTTCTGACAAAGGTTATTTCATAGGAATCTTGGTTAGAGAAAGTTTGATGGTCTCAATGTATGCACTACATAGTCATGTCAGTATAAACAGGAATATGCAGGCAAAGGCATGCAGAATCAGTTTAAAAGAGATGGGTCGGGTATAAACAAAGAGATGGGTCGGGTATAAACAAACTCCTTTGTAAACATGTCAAAATACTGGCATTTTTCTTCTTTGATGCCACACCTATCTTCATAAGCACTTAACCACTACCCCCGCCCCCACCGAGTTTGAATTAGAATCAGCTAAGATAATGTAGCACTTTACAATTTGCAAAGCACTGTGACATACATGATCTCATTTGAGACTCACCACTAAATAAGAAGGTGCTATTTTTAGGGCCCATTTTTACATGTGAGGAAGCTGACACTAAATGGCTGACTTGCCCAAGCTCATAAAGCTGGTGACAGCTGTGTGGGGACCTGAACACAAGTCTCCTGACTTTAAATAGCCTGCTTTTGCTACTGCACCATGCTGCCTCAAATACTGTAATCAGAATAAATACCCAAATCTCAGACCCCATCTAGGCCTCCCCAACCCTCACACAGCCACCCCTAGTCTAAGTTATAGTTAGCTCTAGAAGGTCTTTGCTCCTTATGGAAGTAGAGTTTTCATTTCTCTGGGAAACACTTATCTGGTTAAAGTATAAATGAAGAGATCATATGAACACCATTGGACATCCACTGCAAAATATCTTAGTCACGAGGGGTTCTGCATAGGCATGCCTATAAGCATTTTCCAGGTAGTAGGTCAGATTCTCAGAGTCCATGACCCTAAAAAGGTTAAGAATCCAGGCTAGAGATAGTGGCTAGATTCTCTCCAAGAAACTAAATCCACAGAGTTCTTAATATAAAGAGTTTTATCTAGGCCTCATACTGTGCCCCACTTACCTTCTACCTCCCCTGCTCCAGGCCTTCTCCCAGGGCTAGTAGAGTCATTCAGTATCTAGATCTGTTTTTTCAATTATATGTAAAACCTAGAGCAACTGATAACATCTAAATCAATGAATTGTAAAAAAAACAAACATTAAAATTAAAATAATTTTCTGTTAAAAATGTAATCCTTAACACATATTCCTTTCCCTTACGATATAACTTCCCAGAATGACTGTTTTCTTACCATAAGCATTCCAATTCCCAAAAGAAGTTTCACAAACATTACTTTGAACTCCTGAAATACCATTCTTCACTAAGAACCCTCTAGATTACACAGAAGACAAGGTAGCATGCAAGGAATTCTGAATCTGTTAGGCAGTTCACTCAACTATCATACCAAAAGGATTTAGAATATTTTTGTTGGGGGAGGGAATGGATAAGAGTGGGAGAGAATGAATACAGTCCTATTGTCTTACTGCTTGAAAACTCCTAATTTGAATCTATAACATATTCCTACTAACCACTCAACTTGAACATCAGAAGTACAGTCTCTTTTCATCTTAAATAGAGCTTTTCAGTCCAAATCTGTATAAACAAACTTTGTCCTTCAATCTTTCAACTCCTCGGCAGTTTTTCAAGGTCACTTTTGCGAGCAACGACAGAAGCCTGCATATCTAGCAACTTTGCTATACCACTCCAATTCTAAGAGTTCAAAATCTAAACCCCTATCAATCCTCTCAGGTAAATCCTTTACTCAAGGGGAAGTGAGGGAAAGGCAAATCAACACCCTACAAACTTCTCCTCTAAGAAGGCCTGCTCCTGCTCCCTACCCAGAGACTGAGTGCTGCTGGCTCACTGCTCCACAGTGAGTCTGCTGCAGAAATGTTCCAATGACCTTCATTCCATACTTGCAAATAAAAAGAAAACAAAGAACTGCTTTTTAAAATCAAGTGCATTATAGATCTCTAGTACATGGGATGGAAGATTTCACTATTCACAAGAACTGGCTGATTATTGATTAGCAATCTGCATTAGCTTGTCTAAGAGGAAAAAAATATCAAGGGCAAAACACAGGGTGCCTATACTCTTAACTTTCCTATTCACAAATTGCACGCAAATTAGGACTTTAATATTTCATGTAGAAAACGAAAGCATTTCGCTCACTTCATTTTAAAGAACCAAATCAACACCTGACAAAATGTGTGAAATTGGTGGAAAAAGATTTGCTCTTGTCACTGCCGATATAGTGGAGAAGTCTATTTCTAACCAGCATTCTATGCTAAAATGTGCATTTTAAAACAAAAATTATTAATTAATTGGTACTTATGAGAATCTAGAAGCAGACAGGTAAATCAAGAAAGTTATGCGAGAATTTCACAATGGCATGTGGGCCTTCACCATTAGAACCTGCATCAGTGCAAATCATATTTTAACACAGATTTAGAACAGCAATAGTGCTGCTTCCACCTCTGAAAAAACACATGTCGACAAAGTGCATGGAAATAGAAAAAGTCTTACAACAACTCAGCTTCTTTTGTAGGAAAGCTTCACTGCACTTGAACAAAGGAAAATTATTTGGAAAACAGTTAAGTTTACCCAATGCAAAGAGAAAGTGCTTTGCTTCTGTGTGCCCCTGAAAAATTATTTGCCTTCCTTCATGTACCTGATCTTGTCGCTCAACTAGGAAAAGAAATCCTAGTTGAAGGGCATGCAAAATCTAAACAGAGCAAGGTATTCTAGGTGCACCAAAAGGTATGCATGGAATGTAAAGTGGCCATTTTCTGAAACAGTGCAACTTGTCTACACTCTCTGAAGCTAAACAGTTTCTACCATTTAACACAGAACAAAGAATTAAACTTACCGGGAACTGCATTAATTTTACATGTAGTTATTTATATCTCCTCGGACAGGGAGAATTTAAGTCACTCCTATCCCTCCCCCCAAAAAGGACGGAGGAAACAAAAGGCAGCAGGAGATGCAGAAACCTGAGTCTGGCATGTCCACTCCAGTGAAAACCCGAACAGCTGTCCCCCCACCTCCCAGCAAACTATTCGCCATTTTTCTTTGTCTTTCAGCTGACCCCTGCCTCAGTGAAAAACTCCGTGGCTCCACTGAAGCCCAGCAGCCTCCTTCCACTTTAACAGTCAAAGGCATTCAATCTAGCATGCTATTTGACACCAAACCTTGCCTCCGGAGTGATCCCATTGGTGGAGCTGCTTTATCGGCTAAGGACACAAAGCCATGATTGGCTGTTCACGTCATCAGTTACCTCCTTTGTACACTTCCTGTTTTAAAGTTACCTTGAGAAGCAGAACAGGGGTCAGACCCAGACTTCAAACTACAGGGAACTTAAGGCTTAGAAATGCCTGACAAATGCACACAGCAGATGCGGTAGGGCCTCATGCGCTTCCAAAACAGAGGATACTGCAAATTTAGAAGTGTTTTTAAAATCACACGTAAGGGCTGTTACAGTTTCCACCCAAAGGGTTTCTTATTGGCTGTCAGAGTTCCATTTAAAAAATTTAAGGTAATTTAACTGCTTCTGATTGGCCATCAAAGATGTCTGTAAGATATTGCTACAGTATCCTATGGCAGTAAACCAAAGAAGCAATGTGCACAAGGTCGGAAAGTTGTGACTTAACTATCCTCAGTTTTCTGTTGAACATTAACATAGGAAAAAAAAATTGGGGGTGGGGTACTCCAATAGCTCCAAAGAAAATACTGCTTCTTCAACAGTAACAAAGAGTGATATCAATGGCCATACAATAGTTGGCAAGATTTCTAAAAAGGCATCTGTCATCGTGTCCATGGTAATTATAAAAGCACGTATTAGTATCAGGGCAAATCACTTTATTTTGAAACACAAACTAATCTAAATAGGAAAACTCTGGGGTAAGGTATGATGTTAGTGACAGAAACAGTGGCATTTCCAAAAAGTCTACCAGGAACCCAAGAGGGAAATATAGTGATAAAGGGGGGGAAATGGCAAAGAAGATAGAACACCTGTGTATATATTGTTTAAAGCAATATAGATTATTTAGAGTGGTCACAAAATGTTGCTGATTAGCTTTTAATATTACACAGTTTTGGCTCTGGCCAGGTAGCTCAGTTGGTTAGAGCATCAACCCAATACACCAAGGTTACAGGTTCAATCCCTGGTCAGGGCACAGATAAGAACCAACCAATGAATGCATAAATAAGTGGAACAACAAATCGATGTTTCTCTCTCTCTCCTTTCCTCTCTCTCTAAAAATCAATCAATAAAAAAATGTATCACAGAGTTTTGATATAGAGCAGTGAATTTCAACCTTTTTCATCTCATGGCACACATAAACTAATTACTAAAATCTGCAGCACACCAAAAAATATATTTTTTGCCAATATGACCAAAAAATAGGTATAATTTTGATTCATTCACAATGGAAGGCTACCGTTGTGTTGGCTGTTGTCATATTTTTATTTGACAATCTAAGGGAAAAGAAGTCAATACCCTAAAGTCCGGTACTGCATATTTTAAAAATTCTTGCAGCACACCAGTGTACCACGGCACGCCAGTTGAAAATTACTGATATAGAGTATAAATTTTTCGATCACATTTTCAAGAATAAATAGCAGGGCTAATCTCAGTCTGAGATATTGTAAATACAGAGATCCTGTTTTTCTAAAGTTAGCTTTACGCCACTTCTCTTTTTAAAAAGACCTACGTTAGTACCTGTTTTCGTTAACGAAAAAAAATCCAAAGAGGATTTTCTCTTTTACGAAGAAAAGCAAAAATAGTAGTCAGTGTTTGTTTTGCCATCAGCACCCCTAGGAGGGAGAGTGGCAACACCAAGCTCCTTCCCCAGGAACTACACTCAGCATCTCAGCATCAACCAGCTTTAAACTGTATCTGTGAGCATCTGTGCTTGATCTCAAATTATTAGGGCATCTGTTAGCAAGGTATGTCCTAAGGTGACTGCTTCTTCACTTTACGCTATTTCAGCTTACAAAGGTATCATAGGAATGATCTACTTTTGGATGGCGGTAGAAACCTGCAGTATTGTGGTTACTGAAGACATTCTGGGGTCCTGAAGTTTACCAGTGTTGGTTGAAGATTTGCTTACAGATGTGGGACTCAATTGTTTAGGTTTTAAGAGGAGCCTCCTAATATGGTAAAAATCAGTTAACATGTCTTTTTTCTTTTTTTACAAAACATTCAAATAGAAACATCTCCCTATTACCTGAGGCTTTTAACAGTCTCCTCAGATCTGCTTCCTCCCATTAAAGCTAAGTATCCCAAGACTAAACAACACAACTGTTTTGCAAGGTATATCTCACATGGGAGTTCATTGTGGGCATATGCAGAGATTTGGCAGAGCCCTGAAATAGAAGCAAGGTTGTCTATCCCATCACTTTGCCATATTAACTTCTCTACACACATTCTACTCATATCCCACATTGAAATGAAGTAATTTCTGAACACCAATCAGTGCTAGATTCTGTGCTAGGTACTTTACTCTTCTAATTCCTACTATCCCCTTTCACAGGGAAAACAGAGTAAGGTTCAGAGAAGTTAAACAACTGGCCCCTAGCTATAGACATAGGATGCAAACTCAGGTCCCACCTAGGGCAGAACTCTTGCCACTGCACAGCACTGCTTACCAAAACATGGAGCACCTCAGGACACATCCAAGGAAATTCTTAGGTGTCACATAGATGTATAGATAGCATAAACCATTACACTCAACTTCAATAATTCATTAATTTAAAAATCAAAATTTTTACTACTCTTGAATTTGATCTGTTGGTTAGAGATCTAGCTAAGTATCTAGGGGGGGAAAAAAAGACCCTATAAATTGATACAAAAAAACTTTTTTAATCCTCACCAGAGGACATGCTCATTGATTTCAGAGACAGGAAAAGAGAGAGGGAGGGAGGGAGAGAGGAAGACAGGAAAAGAGGAAGACAGGGAAGGAGGAAGAGAGAGGAGAGATAGAGAAACATCGATGTGAGAGAGAAACATTGCCTCCTGTTTTCCCCAACCAGGGTCCAAACCAGCAACCTAGGTATGTGCCCTAATGGGGAATTGAACCCATGACCTTTCAACGTACTGGATAACACTCCAACCAGCTGAGCCACACCAGCCAGGGCAAGTTGATACAAATTTTATTACCTAACTATTACGAGCATTTAACCAGTAGCAAATCACATTTGTAATTTATAAGGACTTGAAATAACTAACAACTAAATCATTAAAAGTAGTGTACATTAAAATATTAAGCGAATGCAGACCCTGGCCAGGTAGCTCAGTTGGTTAGAGCATCCACCCAATATGCTAAGGTTGCAGGTCCAATCCCCAATCGGGGCACATACAGGAATCAACCACTGAATGCATAAATAAGTGGAACAACAAGTCAATGTTTCTCTCTTCCCCTTCCTCTCAAAATAAATAAATAAATAAATAAATAAATAAATAAATAAATAAATAAATAATTATTTCATTATAGCATCTAAATAAGAGTTTAGTTACGCTAACAAGGTGTGTTGTGGGGTGATTTCTGAAGCTACACAGAGTTTTCACTATTGCAATTCTTTTCTTGAAAGTTTAGATCACAGATTCTGATAGCTACCAGCCTGGGAAGAGAAGGCAGAAGGCCAGCAGGCCAGTTGTGTGCCTTATACACACTAGAGCCTCTTTTAACCCCAAAACAGTGGAGGTCAAGTCAATTGCAAGGAAGCAAAGAAGCTCATTTGAGGAGTGGGAGGCAGAAGAATAGGAAGGACATTTTCACATCACTGGCTATTAATCA